AAAAAGATAGTCTCGAAATCTAGCTGTTTTACTCTCCATAATTTCTCTTACGAAATTTCAAGGTCATTGTAAAAAATATCATATAAAATTGCCCATTTAAAATAATTTTCGAGTATAGACTTGTAGCACTCATTTTTTGAAGAGGCTAGTGAATTCGTGAAAAAAGCGGCACTCGATACTGAAATCGAAGGAGAAGAATAAAGCAGAAAGGTTTCAAGGCTAGTTGTCGATAAAATTGACTTTTGAGTTTGCTTTGTTGCAGTTAATGTATGAGTCAAATGAAAATCAAACATAAAATGCTGCACGACTTGATAAGGACTACAGGTCTAGTATACTAAAATCTTGTCAGAAAAAAGTAAAAGTAAATCTGAGAGTAACCAGAACATCCTATACATGCTTTTATGTTTTTCCTGAATTGATTTTACGACTAAATGAAAAAACTACAAAGATTGCACTTTAATAAATAAAAGATGAAACCTGAAATTTGAAAAATATTGACCCATAGTGGCCGGCTGTTGCCCGATGGCAGCATAAAGCCATTAGGCACCTCGGCAGTTCTTTGTTTCGATGAATTCACCTTTGCTATCCCCTTGATATCGAAAAATGTTAATGACGTATTCATTATGGATAAGAAATATAAAAGATATAGACTTGTGAGGTTTTAGCTTCATTTTCTTAACATATGGAATACTATCAATAAAAATAAGTGCAGCAATGAAAAAAGATTTGATAACAAAAAGGATAGGAAGAATAAAATATATAAAACAGAGAGAAGTACAGGACAACGTCCTTTCTCCTGTCTTTTGTTTAACTCTGATACGGAAGCATGTTAGCAGTGAATTTCGATTTCGACACATGAGTGACGCACCAGCAAGCAACGAGTTAACAATTGCTTCCCATATTTTTCATGTTTCATTCGTATGTTATTTCTCTATGTTTTCTGAACTTTTCAGTATCACGTAACTTAAATTTTTACTTCTTTCTACTTTCACCTATAATCACCGGATAAAACGTATTCCTAAAGAGATTAACTAGCTGCTAACATAAATAATTAAGCAAACAGTCTCAATGAGAAAATCGCAATATTTTCAATCGATTGTTACGTTTATAATTTCATCAAGAAGGAATAACCCTTATAATGACAGACAACGTTTCACATGAGTATCAAGTCGGAAACAAAATGACTGGTGAGCTGAAGGTAATAACAAAAACTTAAGTTTTGCTCACTTGTTTTGAACACATCTTTTCTCAATAGAAACATGTTACACTACCATCAAACTCTTAAGATCTTTCCCTTCAAAAATCGATTCCAGGTTTAAGCACATTCAAATCGTCTAAAATTTTCACAGCACGCTGTAACTTAAGTGGAGACGCTACGATAAAATTTCCAATTCTATACTATGATGTTTGATAGAGATATGAACCAAACAAGGACAAACTATAGCTCATTTCGCAACCCATTTTTCTCTATCCAGACTGTTTCAACATATTAAAATTTATTTGGTTTGAAAGAGTATTCTCAGATGAAAGGCCTTACCGAGGGATACCAATTTACATAAGTATTTGTATATATAATAAAAAAATAAAGCTTAATTAAAAAAGCACTCTGTGATGCTCTTCAACTTGACATGCTTTTTCTAAGAAAAAAAATTAACTATTTGGATGAACCTATAGACATAAATTTGGGTTGCGCATTTGAATAAGTATAATCCGAGAAAAAACGAAAGATATTTTTTTTTAAGAAGTGGATGACAAAAGTTATCAAAAATTTTGCCTCAAAACGGGATTTCGATCTAAAATCCATATTGTTTTCGAAAGAGCAGAGCGTGGGCTACCTCCAGATATATTTATCCCAGTTTTCATTTTTTTCACAAAAATTGACTTTTTCTGAGGGAGAAGGCCTTATATCATGTCAAAAGAAGGAATAAAAAAGCTTCCGATATGATGTCTTTGAGAAATTAATTTCGAAAAAAAATTTTACTTCTGACCTTCGAACTACGCCTCAAAGATGGAATATAGCCCCATCCTAAAGTTTATTACTTCCGCTAAAAAAAATGAGCTTGCGCTGCCTGTGAATTTCGACTATCTAGATGGAATGGTTACTACTGATTGGCCAGTTCTATGCCGATACAGGTGATATGCTGATCGATTAACGCTATAAAGAGAGGATGTCAGTACTATTTATATGGTATATATGTGGACTAGTCAGCTAACTTTTCAGTATTATATGAATCCGATTTTCTAAACAGATAGTACATTTATAGATCGATTATTATAATGAAACTTAACACAAGCAATGCTTATCTCACCCAGTGAAATTAAGTAACGATACAGTAAAGAAAAGATGCAAATAGTGGTATTGATATTAGATAGTAGCGATGGTTACTTTCCAATTACTCATTTCGTTTAAAAAATTTTTAGTCAGGCTTTTCTGACCACTTCTAATTAATATTTTTCTGGATCGGCGATGCATGTATACGTCATGATTTCTTTTGAAACCAAAAGGAGGCATGTATATATTGTGGATTATAACTAATTTCGCATACAATAAGTGTATACCTCATATAAAAAGATATTAACTTTAAATTGCTTTCATTCAAAGGATGATTCAACAAATAACCATATGGGAATAAATTCATCTACGTACATCTTTTTTTTGTGTGATTTCTCGTCGAGGAATGAATGTGAAATTTCGAACCTTTCAAGATAAAGAGAACTCAAGTGTTACAGTTACAACGGTCATGATTATAAAGTTTTCCATTCCTTCACTTGACTTGAGAAAAGGATTCACTCTCACTATAACTTTCTTTGGAGCAACCAGGGCACAAACACGGTGCCTTATTTCCTTCTGAATATCACTAAATATTGCGAGATATGCCACAATTAATCTATAAAAGGTTTTCCCAACAAAATGAATATGCGCTCTACTTTGACTAAAATGATAATAAAAAAAAGTTCAGTTCAATCGGTTTCAGTACGAAGAAGATAGTGGAAAAAATTGTAAATTTTCTTCCAAAAGTTGTTCCCAGCAAGACAAAAAAGAGAGTGCAAATTATCTGCTTTCATAGTATGAGTCTTGGTATCGTTTCCTCTTTTTTTGATCGAAATATGAGTTCCAATTTTTCATTTACGTGAAATAGGTAGAAGATAAGTGAACCTATTTATCTGTGAGAAGAAAAAACGAAAAGCTTAAAAAATTTGCACCGCAATGTGCCCGAGAGAAACTTTTCTTCAAGTATTCTACTTTTTTTCTTTAGAGAGAAAATTATTCTGCCCTAAAAGGACTACAATTCAAAAATTTAACTATAGCACTCAATCCGAAGATCAGTTACTTCCATGGAAGGATGTAAAAGTTCCAGTGCCGATTGGTTGACTGGGTATCCATCTGTTTTAGATATCCAGTACACCGATCTAGAATTGATTCGAAGATCAATATCTTTGTTTTTGATCAAAGACTACTAGGGCCAAAGAATCTGAATCCGAAATTCTGATTTCAAATTCGAAATCTTCGACTACGAAAACCTTTCGTGAAAAACAGAAGATGCATCCGTAGTTGAATGGCATAAATTTTGCTATATAAAATGTACCAAAAAAGCAGATTATATGGAGCCTTGACAGGTAACAAGTTCGATTCATACCGCATTAGTAGATTCAAAGGTCGCAAGGAATCATGTTTGCTAATGGAAAATGTGCGTCGACTACAGTTCATTACAAAAAGTTAACTCTTAATATGTTGT